TTTAGTGCTTGGGGTTTAGGGTTTTACCTGGAGAACCCGGTAGCCGATAATAAAAGGGACCGACGCAAGTTGCTCCTTTCATCCACTGGTGCCGGGAACTATGGGGCTAAAGATAAGCAAACTCTCATCAACTGTACTGAAAACGGAAATCAGGTGAACATGCCTGATCTATCTTACTTTTTCCCCATCAGAGCTTCCCCTGCAGATGCAGCCACGCATTCACCATGTATCTTGACATGGTTTCCATATGGCAAACCTTTGTGCTCACGGCTCTTGAGAGAGCACTTACCTTTCCAATAAAATCTTCATCTAATTGCGTGCTTTCGGCAAGCAAGTTGTATGTGCGCCGTCGTTGTGAAGCGCAAGCTGCAACCAACACATCAGTCATGTGTATCATGGCGTGAAGTTTTGGATTCATCTTGAATCGCATACGCTTTCGGTCGTATGCAAGCTGTGCACACTCCGTATACGAGCGCAGGAAGTCCAGCCCTGCTTGGGCTGCTTGTCGAGTTACACTCAACTCCAAAAACAGGCCACTTCCATACAAGAGCGACAGGAAGGTATTGGCACTTTTGCAGCAATCATAGATGGAGTCCACGTAGTCATCTGGCTGAGACAGACCAGCTTTGTGTTTTCCCCAGAAATCTTCAAGGAAATATAACACGGCAGTTGTGTCGGCTCCCTTGAACCAGCTCCTGAGCTGCAAAAACCTTTCATACTGACAAAAGGGTTACACGGCTCTCAGTTATGACTATACCACACAAGAAACAATTCTACTAAACGAGCAAAGAACCCCACAGGATAACACGAATCCCGAGGAAATGTCAGTGAATTCTTGGTCAGTGCATCCATATGCAAGGGAATCCCATTGGCCTTGCAGAAAGATGACATCACGCCATAAAGCCTTTCCAGCTTGACTTCGACCTTTCCATCCGGCCCAACAAGATCATAGTCCAGGATGACCACCTGCAAACATATATATAGTCATGCTGGCACCAACCACCTTAATCTTATATGAACCAAAAAAAACATCCCCAATATTCATGCAACAAGGAACTAAGCCACTTCCCGCCAATTCCGCAAAGCATCCTTTATGCAAGGTGTGGAATGCATCGAACTTGTGCATCAACTCTTGGTGGGGGGATTGCGGGATTACACACAAAGGTCCTGGTGTCGTCCAGGGTGTTTTGGTCAATACGGTGCTCCTCCAAGCTGCACCAGGGCCAAAATCGTGGGGAGGAAAACCGATCTCTCCAGCACGGCATAGGTGGCAAATGCCACTCTTGTCGCTCACCTTGAAAACACCCCTGCGGCAAAAATGCCGCTGCAGGCGACCAACTCTGGCATGGATAGGCCAATCTCCCTTGAAGCCAATTGTTGCAACAAAAAATTGCTCACGTCGATCCCCGATCACCACCTCAATGCCAGCATGATACAAATCACGTAGCTCCTCGGCGATGGCAGATATGATGTTGTCCAACTTTTCTGGATGCTTCTGGTAGACCTTCTTCAAACAAACTGTTGCCAAAAATCTTGTAGCATAGCTGTTTCCGAGAAAGTTCAAATTCAAGCCGTTGGGATCAGTATACTTGCTGGTGCCCGCCCCCATTGGCGAATGCCAGCTCACCACCATAATCCCGGTCTTCTTCAGCGTTTGTCCTTCGTCTGCGTGAAGCAGCAAAGGAAGCACTTTGTCAAGCCGGTGTTTATGATCGTTGAACACACAGTGTGAACCTTCGTGTTGCCGATAATGGCGCCAAAACCTTGGTAAAATCTCTGAAGCTTTGCCTCTGCCACCCCAGAGCAGCGGGAGCTTGTCATGAAGGGCCAAGACTTTCAAGAATTCAGTGATACTCAATATCGGATGATTGACGTCTTCTCCAATATCAATCATGGTGGTGCCAATGGGGCAACTGAGGCCCTGCTTAGTGAACTCAGCTCTGGCTTTGTTTTCGTGTTTTGTTCTGGAACACCGGTGCAAGTTTGAAAGCAATGAGCTGCTTGCTAAATCATCCGCCAAATCAGCATCCACATCCTTGCATTCTTCATAGAATCCAGAAGCCAAAGAACATACCATTCGGTCCGAAACCTGACAGGGAAGATGGAACCTATATATACACGTAGTATACCTAACGAATGTTCGGAAGCGGCTTACGCTGTTCATATGGGTGCGATATTTTGCATCATGCGAAACCAAAACCATAGTCATCCAGAACATGCACAAATTAACACGGGTGCAAAACAGTTACACAGACTCTCTTCTACACAAAAAAAGTTTATACATCCTTATAGTTGAACCGACTTTGTCTGTGTATGTGGACCGATACATTCGCAACATAGAATATAATCAATACATGCATACCAAACGATTAAGGAGCTTTCCAAGGCTTCAGCGTCATAAATCCCAATTGCCCAAATAAAGCAGCTCAATTAGATTATCGAGAATATTGTTTTGACAACTTCGGGCCCCAAGTCCACGGGCTTTGGCCAATGCCACAGCGGCAGGACCATTCTCTTTGACCACGGGGATCTTCGCACCTGCGGCAACATGTGGTATTTTTATATGATCTTATTCATGGGTTTTGCCGTATAGGAGGCGATTATAGGCATGATCGCACAGAAAACACAATATTTTCATCCCATGCGTCACTGGTCAACCCCCGCACGGATACCCGATGAGCCGCAATCTAAGCTCGACATCCTGAGCTGTCACAGCCCTTTGTCGCCACACCGTGTACTTCAACACATGTGGTCAAAAAGGATCTGCATGTGTTCCCGAAAGACAACTGCAAAGATGCAAATTGCACTCCAAGCCATGATCGATCAAGGGTTCATTGCACCTATATACACGAAACAGGTTGCGCTACCACACTCGTTGCAATCACTGTCGATCACTTCTTGGCTTTGCACTTGGCCTTACCCTTGGCCTTAGCCTTTGCTGCGGTTTTTCGCGGCTTGGGCTTTGGCTCCTCATCAGAAAAATCTCCTTCTTCGCCAGGGCCCTTACCCTCGTCATCGTCGCTTGCCGGCTTGGATCTCTTCGCTTTGGGCTTGGCCCGCAGAACAGTCCTTATTGTAGCATCAGCCCCATGGACAATCAAATTCAACATGTGCTGCGTTTAACTTCACCAAATATGTCCAAGAGGCCGCTTGCATTTTCGCTCCTCCATAACAATGCGACTTGACCTGATGCACATCTGGAAATATATTAACATATATGCACACACAAACAGAACATTGCACTCAAGTTTAGGAGAGGCACAACTTTTCCACCTCGATCATCTTCTTCTTCAACAGTTCCGTGGCCCTTACTTTCGATCGATGGCTTCTGAACATCGCACACAAAGCTGCGACATTGCATCCTTTTAAAACAAACATAATTGTCACCCAGGTTCTCTTTCTTCATAGAATTCTCAGCCTTCATCTCGGCCAGCTCGTCATGAAGCTTCATCAGGGAGTCGGCCTTCTCCTTCAAGCTCTTCAGGTACCTTAGACAGAATCGCTGACTGTGTAAATGCATTGGGGAAATCCACAAAGAATGATTTGATTTCATCCAAGACAGGGCACTGTTTCGCTTCATCAGACTTACTTTGCTTGAGTTGGTCTAATGTATTGTCCACCTTGATTCGTGACTTCAGAATCTCGGTGAGCAACTCCGGAATCTTTTCCAAGTCCTGCTGTGGGATACAGAATGCAAAAAAAGGAATGGGTGTTGGGACTTTTGGCATAAACAACAACACTTAAACGGCCTTGGCTAAGAAACCAACCACTTTGTGGCTTATCTGACCATAACTTACTACAGGTTTATATATATATATATAGATGGTTTTACGGGGTACCCATAGGAGTTAAGTACGTGTATGATAGACCATGGAATCATATACAGAGTAGGATTATTGGTTTGTTCGTTGCATTCTTCTATTCGAGTATTTATTTGCGATGGAGGTCAACACAGGACTTTACGAAGGCTCAATTTGGTGGGTACTGTTTTATAGTCCCACAGCTTACGATCGAGAGACCACTATAAGCACCCCCCC